ATCTACATGTATTGCTCAATAAACTAGGGTACACAGACAAAAGAAGAGAAAGCTTTAGAAATAATATTTTATACACTATACACTTTCTTTACCTTAACTTTATACATAATATTTCTAGACCAACTAAACAATTTAGATGAACCTTTGTCAAGTAAATGCGGTCTTGGGAATATAATAGGAACTGGTGGAAACTAACTGAAATATCATTTTGTTAAGGTAGTGGCTTTTGAATTTCTTTTCATAAGTAGATTAGATTCTGTGAGCTCGTTCCTACATAGATGAAAAAGCATAATGCATTTTATTTAAAAGAAAATCCTAGATGTTGACTTGAATTGAAAGTACAGGGCTTTCTTTTCTTTTGACAGTTTGATTTTGAAAGGTTTTTCTCGTGAAATACATAATACACTGTTGCTAGCTGAATGTAATGATCCCTCACCCAAGATGAAATAACAGAAAGGCCAAATTTGGCTAATTTTGCATCTTGAGGAAACTATTTGTGAGTCATGTGTGTTAAAAAGCATCAAGCACTAACATCAAAAGCAGCTTTTCAAAAAGAAAGAAAAAAGTAAGTGATGGATAAATGAATGCTCCCATGGTCACACTGACATTGTTTTGATAGCTGCACATTCAATTGTTTTGTTTTAAACCTATATAGCTTCTCTGGAACTTTTGGGTCAACTTTAACATATCCAGGGCACACAAATCTTATTAGAATACGAAAAAAAGAAGAGAGTCACAGGTCAATCTCTCTTATATGTCCTAAAGCAACCTAGAAATATAAACTAATACAAAATTAAAAGTTGAAATGACTGTAAAACTCAAAATATAATTGCAATTGAGTAATATATGGTACAAAGATTCAGAGGTAAAAGCTAAGAAGAAAATGTTTAATGCTCACTAACAATTGTTATGTATCCCATACTTGGATATTTCATACTCACAAAAGCAAGATCATGTTTATACAGTCCTTAATAGCAAAAATAATGTTGTTTCATACATATTTTCTAAAAAATCTCGAGGATCTTGATGGATACTTAACCCATCCTTCTGTTTCCAGACCAGAGAACACTTGTATGACTATACTACAGAGAATGCATCCTTTTATCAAAGTTCCATGTCAAAGGCCCTTAAAAACTAGTTTATGTACCTCTCTCCTTATAGTCCTTGTTTTCTAGCTTCCATGCCTTGTACTTACATCCCTTTAAATGTACTTTCCCCGATCAAGTCACATCCGTTCTTCAAGTCCTTGTTTATAAGCCATTCTCCCAAGACACCTTCTCTGATGTTATCCTGTCTTCACCAAATGGAAGTAATCATTCTATGAACTCCCATAGCCCTCTCTCTCTACTATTTTGACTAATATACCAGGGGTTCGCATGACCCTGCCCAGGTTCAGTGATTTTCTAGGACAGCTCATAGGACTGGACTTACAATCATAAGCAGAGCTATGACTTCATACTGTGAAAGGATGCAAAGGAAAATCAGCAAAGGGAAAGGCATGTGGAATGAAGTCCAGAATAAACGAAGAGAAAACTTTCAACCTTCCTAAAGTTTACCCCCAGTGGAGCTGTACAGGATGCTCTTAATTTCTGCAGCAACGAATTGTGACTATGTGAAGTGCTGTATCTACCAGGGAAACTCACTGGAGGCTCAGTGCCTAAAGTTTTTAGTAGGAGGTACCTACTGCCCGGTATCTACCAAATTCTAAACTCATCTAGGAAAGCAGGTATTTAGGACAAATCATATAGTTTGCACAGTTTAGGCCCAGCGAACCATTTTTATCAATTAAAGTGGTACTCTACTCCTGAAATCCGTTCCCAGATGCCAGCCAAGGACCAACCTGCCATCAGGTTTTTGTCTAAGAAGAAGAGTGTCAGGACTTCTCTGTTATCTTTTCTGCATAGGACGTTATACAGCTTGAATATATATGTGTATATCATATTTTAACTCCTGTACTGTAAGATCACTGAAGACTTGGAAGATTTTTTTCATTACTCCATTAATTCCAATATGAAATAAGATTCCTGATGGGAGACATTCCACAAATATTGATGATTAGAAGGTCTGCTGATTCAGGAAGGAACAGCAAAAATAAATAAATAAATAAATAGGCAGGGAAGCAGACTCAATGGTGTGGAGAACATTTCTGCTACCCCATTCTGAGGGAGGCCTCTATATCACCTGCGATTTTCCCACATTGAAGGATAGGGAATGGCACGAACTTCAAAAAAATAAGGAAGACATCCATTATGAGTGATATTGCTACTGAACTCACATAATTTATTATTGATATATATGTGTATATATACATATATATGTTAAGGAAACAGGGATATGCAATTTTTTTCAATACAACTCTGTGAGATCACTCACATCTTAATCCTGTTGAATCTCTTCTTTATTCTTATTCCACTCATAAAACAATGCCTATATTATAGCCCATGTCTCAAATTCACTTGCTTACAAAAAGACCTACTGAGCACTTACTCGATGCTGTTACTGAGATATCAATATTAAGAGCCCCATAATAAAAATGGCTAATACTTACACAGGGCCAGTGTTCTAAGCACCTCTCCAAGAGGTAGATATTGTTATATATTCGCCTTTTACAGACAAAGTTATTAAGGGAGTCAACCCTCCTGAGCAGTTACTCTGGAAACCATGCTAATAATTACTCTGTTATAATGATTATAACATCCTTGAAAAGCTCACAGTTTTGTTTTGTTTTTACATAAAAATGTATTTTGACTAAATTAGAGAAAAATATCCTTGCTCCATTTTAATATTTCCTTCTCTACCACTTTAAAATAAAAGGACTATAATATTGCTAGATTTTCCCATTTCATAGTTGGTAAGTTATATGGTCTTAATGAACAATTTATCACTCAGTAATTCATGAAAAAGGAGGATTCAACGATGTATTTAGCATTTGTGACTGTCATTCTGAATATAAATAAAAGGAAAGTTATATTGGTTTAAATTTAAAAAGTATGCACACTAAAATCTTTTTATCCCCAGAGGTGTGAGATAGTTGATTTTTGCTATTGTACAATTAGGTGACTGTTTAAGAAGAGAGTTTTTCATTTCCCTCTGAATAGCACACATTTTTATCATTAATTGCCTCCCACACAATGACACAGTTAATACAAAGCAGAGCCTGGAAGAACTCACAGAAGGGGAACCACACTCCTGACATTTTTACTTCTTATAGAACAAATTAAAAGGCTAAAATGTTACAAACAAGCTGCATTATGTCAAACTCAAACAACAGTTTGGAAATGCAGATATAATTTCACCCCTGGATAGTGAAACAATATTTGGTGTGATGAAGGAGTTGTCAGGACTGTTTACAAGTTTCTAGGTCAACATTAACATTCAAGTTCAGGAGATGACAATGCTATGCAGCTGCGGGCTAGGCTCTTCGTGAGGTGACTAAAATAACAGACATTTCAAAGGCATTGTTTTAATTTACAACCACTTAAGAAAAACTCCTTCAGGTGACTGATATCATTCTCATGTCACACATGAGGCAACTGTGTCTTAGGAAGGTTAAGTGACTGCCTCAGGGTTACATAAGTAAAAAGCTTGTGTAAGCAGCAACTTGCACTCAAATGTTCTCTCTCCAGAGTTAGTACTTTTAACCACTAAGCCACATTGCCTCTCAAATATCTACGAAGGTAATTACACCCAGATTTGAGTGTATTTAGACATGTTCAGTACCATGCATTGAACTGCAATTCTTTATGTGTCTCTTGCATCTCTGCATGTCCTACAAACAGAAGCACTACTGCTTTTGTTCTGGAATATCTTTTTTAAAGATGTTTGTACAGTGGATAGCATTGCAACATAGAGATATAGTTTCCCTATGGAGCAATGAACAGGCATGCTTACTGTCTACTAAAAATATTAGGGTTTCCTACACTCAGGGTTCTGCTCCTGTAATCAACCTAGCGTGTTTGCAGGTGTCACTTAACCATCTTGACATTGTCTCGGAAGAACTGGCCTTGGAAGAACAGCTTAAGAAAATGCTGATAATCTGCCTACAGCTGTTTTTCAATGAGTAGTTAAGTCCTTTGTTGCCAAAAACAAAACAAAAATTTATAATGTCCTTAAATTGGAAGTAGAATTAGGTTCTATAGTGTCTAAAGTTTATTACTATTTGGGGGGCCCTCTTGAAGGAAAAAACACACAAATTACATATGCAAAATTAAGTTCAAGATTGTGGAAGGGTGCTGGCAAGTGAAGGGACTGTATTGGAAGCTTTATTCATGGTAAATCCATCTCTGTCTGAAATATATTCTTGGAAGTCATAAATTTCCAATTTGACAAATAGCTCTAAATGACTTTCCACTCCCCAAGCACCAAGTCTATACATCGTATAGTGCCTCATTTTAGAGAACAGTTCTTAATTTTTGTTTCCGAGGCAAAATAAAAATCTAGAGTATCTCTCCCATGCCAAAATTTTTCAAAATTCTGGTGTCTTGGTTGGATTTATAGACAGTCTTGGCAGTATCTTGTTTTCTGTTTTTGTTTTTGTTTTTCAATCTGTTGACTCTAAAGTAAACATAACCAAACTAATGTCTTAAATTGATTTCCAAAACCTGCCCCAGTGATAAGAATAGTTAAATTCTAGCATTGTTGAGCCCAAACTCCTGAAACATTGAATTCATGGAAATCGTACCATAAACATTGATATAGTTTCAACTTGGGTATGTGGTAGCTCTATAATGCTTGAAATGGGGGGGAGGGGGGAACACATACTTTGTATGATACTCTGAAAGTAGCAAATGATTTTTTGTATACTGCACTAAAGAGAAAAAAAAAATAGCTTAATTCATTTTGCGTGTAAAATCATGTCCTTTTAACACAGTAAAAGCTTGAAATAGTTAAAAGCATTCATGAGTTATATTTGTGAATCATTCACAGAAAACAATTATGGGCTAAACATCATAAATATGGAAGTCAATAAACAATTAAGAAAATAAATAAAGTTCACCTACTTTTGAAATATTACTTGATCGACTTGCGGATCGTCCTGGGGATTTTTCATTCTGAAAAATAAAATTAGAGTCATTGATTAAACATATGGCCAATAGTCTTTACCACTGAGAAAAAGAAAAGCAGAGCACAGGCACATGTGTAAATGCTCTCTAAGTTATTCTAATAGATGTATGAATTGCTTATACAAGGTGGTTTGTTTCTTACTAAATTTTATTTCTCTAGTACATATCAGTATCCCTTTGAAAATGTTTCAGTTGGCATCAGGGTATATATCACTCCAGAAATCTTTAGTTCCAGGAAATGCTTATTTCTCTAAAAAAATGCTTGCAGTTCTTTTGAAATAAAATTAGACAGTAGAAATACAGTGCATTATCTCCCCTTTTGCTTTTGCTACCAGGAAATTCTGAATAAATTCCGGTTCCCAGTGTCAGTAAATATTGCCTACCGGGTGCATGGTACATGCATCTGATTCGTTCTTCTAACATGCACTTCATTGGTCTTTTCTGTCGTTTTCCTTTTGAAATTAAAAAAAATCTAAAAGATACTTTTTACATAAAAAACACTTAACTATTTAAATTGAAAATACTTTTAAAATTATTTTAAAATTTAAAACTTAAAAATAAGTTAAAAATTATAACCTCAATTTTTGCCTCTTAAAGATTTTCTAATTTAGTAGAAAAGAAGCATAAAAAAAGGATTTGAAAAAGTAACTTTAAGAGAAGTCATACAATTTTAAAGTAAGAAGGGACCTTAAAAAGTGTCACCCCCTCATTTGAAGCCCAGAAGCATTCTGTTCCTGACAGTCATAGGGTTTGTGCCCAAGCCAAGGCCAGCCCAAGCTCTTCTGACTAGTCCATTCTGCTGGCTCTTCCCACTCTGCCAATTATCTGTTGGTGGATAAGTGACCGGCAAATCAGAATGAATGCATTTAACGTGTAGCAAGAGATCACAGTGCATTTCTTTGGTCCAGAAATACTGGAGAACTTGTTCTGGAAACCAAAAGTTTGTGAAAGATCTGAATTAACTTTGTTACTGAAATACGTTAGAATTCTCATAAAAAGAAATTTTCTGAGCATCTGGACTCAGCGCTAAAGTGGACTTGAGTAGGCACCTTGACAGAGGTCATTTTTGAGAACTAAGTTGTTATAACAACCTGTGGATCTGAAATTGCCCCGTGATGATGGCTTGAGACAGTTTCAGAAACATGCTGATGACAGGATGTGGCAAATGTGTTACTGTGGAAATACAGTAGCTAGTTCACTGCGGACTGTCACTGTGTCAGGCACAGGCTTGCAGATGGATATTCCAGCTCAACAGTACTTTTTCCTTTACATGCAACATCCATCTCCTACAACCACTGATGTCACTGTGGAGCATGTTATTACAGAGCGAGATGAGTCCCAACGATACGATTAGTTACACCTCATAACAGCCCGTGATCCAGGGGGAGATTAATGTATCTACTACCCGCAGACATTTTTCCTTGATTAGCTTCCTCCGGTGATGGAGAGAGGTACTTTTCGACTGACATCTCAACTCCTCTTCTAGAGACTAGAAAACAAAAGCAATCCATCTCTCCTTCTCAGTGAAACCCAGGATTTTGACACAATGGAGCAGGGGTAAATAGGCCGCACGATATTAATGGGCTTTGGGAGCAGTTTCGCTATAGTGTGTTTTCTTATGTTTTCTATATTTAAATGGCATTGAGAATGTGATTAAGGAACTAGAATTGAAAGGTGCATCAGCAGGAAACAAGAAGTACTGTAGAAAATGTAATTTGGCATCAGATTACTTAATTTTCCAAACCAAATAGGACTTTGTGGTGTTTTCAGATAAAACAGGGAGGGTCAGGTTCCCTCCACAATTGTGAATGAGTTGGGCACAGGGTTATAATTAGGAGATAATTCCATACTCTTGACCAGCACTCCCCAGTCTAACGGGGAGGAAGCATCTGCTAGATTGTTTAGTACTTCAAGAGATCTTTTTACATGAAATCCATTGGTTCCATTTTCTCCTACGAGGTTAGACATTGAAAGAAATGAATGAGCTTAGGCAAAGGTTACAGTTGTGGCCATGGCTTCCTTCCCTATCGTCTCTATTCCAGTTGACATAGAGGAACAGAGAGGTGCACACTTGCCATGTTGGCAGTGACTGGGAGTGAGAGACTGCCTTGCAATTAGGCCTGTGGGAGTGGACTAGCTCTAGCAGGGGCACACTGTTTGAGGTTTCAGGACCTCAATTTCTTCACTATGAAGTGGAGATTGTTATAAGAATCAAACAAGTTATAACTGAAAACATTTTATAGACTACAAGGTTATATTTCCATTACTATTTATAGGTAGAGAAAACACCAAAAGAGCTCCCTCAAATTTCATGATGATCACTACAAGTTATTAGACTCATAATTTTAACGTAAACATCTGAGTTTCTCAGTCTTGCAATTTTCTCTCTATTGTGGGTTAGGTTTCAGCATATAAAATTTAAGAATAGAAAATCAAATTTTTCTCTACCCAAGGAGGTTAAGAGGGTTTGGTCTGCCTTTCCTTCTAAGCAAAGCACCAGAAGCACTTTATCTCTTGGAAGACTTCCAAAGCAATCTGTCCAATTTGCTAATAATTAATTGGGTGGCTTGTCCCATTGCTATCGCAATGACATATTCTTCTTTGTAGATTAGTCAGATAAGATTGTCATACCTCATTATGATCAGTTGAAATTCTTTACCTTAGATTAAATAGAAGCTGTCTTAGATTCTAACATCTCATACTGGTACCCAAATTATAGTGACCTTGTAGGTCAATAAAAGCTGGAGCCAAAAAGTTCCAACATTTCTGAGATAATCAAACAGCAATGTTGGATTTTAGCAGATCATTTACATTACACAGAGAGACTTCTAGTTCTATAAGTGCTTTTTAATATTTTCAAGAGGTTTCACATTTTTTATTTGATATGAGTGTATCTGATATTGTCAGTTTTTGTGATGAATAATATTATAGTGTTTTTAAAATCTGATCTCAATTAAGCATGGTTGAATTTTTATTACTAGAAAGAAATACAATGATTACCAAATAAAAAAATCATTACTAAATTGTTTTAATATATTTTAAATGGCATAATCTAAGGAAAGTGTCATAGTTCCCTTAAAATGAAATGGCCTGTGTTAAAGAAGACACACTATACTGGATATGTAAGTATCTATATATGAATACTCTGTATTTTATACCATTGATCAAACAGAAGAGGGCAGTAAGCAAGCTTGTAGCAGGTTTTATATGTAAACTGAAAGGAAAAAGTCTTCCTGAATGAAGAAACCAGAATGAGACAGTCTTACACAGACCACTGATATGCTATTCTACAGTATATTCCTCTCTTTTTATCCCTGGGCTAAAAGTCAAGAGTATTGGAAAGAAGAAATAGAGTAAGATAATTTGAAGGGTCACCTGAAGAATTCTAATTAGAAAGCGGACTATTTTGCTAGGGTAATTCAAGCTTGTAATAGAAGAAAAGTCTTTGAAAAGAATGTAACATAAACAAAAAATAAACTAGAATGTAGAAAAATTGACTAATGCAATTGCAATAAAAACTTAATTAATAGATATATAAAAATCTCATGTCTGTTAATTGAAAAATATTAAAATATATATATATATATCTTTACTGATTTCAGAGAGAGGAAGGGAGAGGGAGAGAGAGAGACAGAAACATCAGTGATGAGAGAGTCATTAATCAGCTGCCTCCTGCACGCCCCCCAACTGGGGATGGAGCCCACAATCCAGGCATGTGCCCTGACAGGGAATTGAACCACGATCTCCTGGATCCTAGGTCGATGCTCAACTACTGAGCTATGCCCAGCCAGGCTGAAAAACACTCTTTTTAATGTCTATAGAACATTTAAAAATTATTTGACCTCAAATAATACCTTAACAAAAATATTTAAGTAGAGATTTTATAGGGTACTTCTCTTGATATTGTGCAAATAAAATAAGAAATAAAAATTTGAAATATGACTAATAAATCTTTTTGCTGTTGTTTTTGTTAATCCTCACCAGAGGACATATTTTCCAGTGATATTCGGGGGGGAGAGAGAGTAAGAAAGAGAGGGGCGGGGTTGGTTGCCTCCCGCATGAACCCTCACAGGGGCTGGGGATGGAACCTGCAACCCAGACACATGCCCTTGACCAGAAATGAAACCCGATACCTTCTGGTAAACTAGCCAACACTCTAACCACTAAGTAACATGGGCCAGGGCAAAATGTGACTAATAAATCATCATCTGAAAATTAACTACCAACATTTTAGATAATGCTGGTTCTAAAGAAATGACTCTCTGGGAAATCATAGCCAGAAACTCTAGAAAATAACATGCTAAAACCTTTGGAACCCAGAAAAAGCATTTATCCAGATAAGCATTTATAACTATAAATGTCTTTGTTATTAAAAAACACAGTTGAAAACAAAATAAAAAATATAGTAAAAATTATTAAAAAATAAAAGCTAAAACTCATTAAGTGGATATAAATAAGAAGGACAAAGAAATACTTTTTTATAGCAGGTCCTTCAAATATAAATACAAAATAGATGAATTTCCTATAAGGTTTGTTAAGGAAAAGCGAGAGCAGCATTATATATGAAATGAGAAAGGATACATAACCAAAGACACAGAAGGGATCAGAAAAACAGATTATAAAAACTACATGTAATGCTCTTGCCACAAATTTGAAAACCTAGAGGAAATGAATCATATTCTAGCAAAATAAAAATTGCCAGGATTTATTTAAGATAAAGAGAAAAACTTGATAGACAACAAAGAAGAGATTGGAAAAGTAAATAGAAGTCTGTATGCCCTAAAAAGATAAGGGCATGATGATTTCATAACTGAGCTGTATCTTACTTTTAAAGAACACATAGTTCCAATTTTATTTACACTACCCTTGACCATAGAAACATAAATTTTCCTGATTCACATTATTAATCTTGCATGAATGAAAATTTCAATGTATTAAAAAAGTACCCAAAAAGAAATAAAGAAGGAAAATAAAATTATGCTCTAGTC